GACTCTTGAGAGTCCCCTGGACTGCAAGGAGAACAAACCTATCCATTCTGAAGGAAATCAACCCTGAGTGCTCACTGGAAGGACAGATCCTGAAGCTGAGAATCCAGTACTTTGGCCATTTCTCATGAGAAGAGAAGACACCCTGGAAAAGACCCTGATGTTGGGAAAGTGTGAAGGCAAGAAGAGAAGGGGACAACAGAGGACGAGATGGTTGGACAGTGTCACTGAAGCTACCAACATGAATTTGACCCAACTCCGGGAGGCAGTGGAAGATGGGAGGGCCTGGCATGCTCTGGTCCATGGGGTCACGAAGAGTCGGACACGACTAAACGAACAAACGAACATCTAAGAATGTCCATCACTCTTTCCTATACAGCAGCTGTTCTGATTGAGGTAATATTCTTCCCACCTGCCCTGAACTACCCAGCCATCCTGAAATACAGCAAGAAAACTGTTGTGACAGATTTCATCTCCACCAGGAGCAAAGCTTTGCTCCTGGGTGTCAATTGCTCTTTCAAGACCAAGCCACCTCAAAATATTTCGCATCACAAGAGACCAATATGTTGTTCTCAAGAAAATCCATGCCACACCCTGCTGTGAAAAACGGCAGGTAATCATAGGTGGAACAGAAACACCTAAGGATGGAGGAGCAGGCTCCTCCGATGAGCCCCAGGACTTCACCTCTGCACCCTCGTACCTGCCCATGGGATGGTTGAGTTGACGTTCTGAGTTACAGGTCCCTAGACCAAAATTGCTTCCAGTCTAATCCAGCAGAGTTCTTCTTGCATCTGGAGGAATTCTCCCCCTGAAATCATTGCAGGATTAGAAAATATTGAAATTTCTGTGGGATGTTATGCCCAGATGAGTCACTCGAAAATTCCCCGGCTTTGTTTAAGAGGAAAGGCAATTTTTATGAGCCCCAGGCTATCACCTCTGCCAAAGCAGAATCCGTTTGTCTGGTTTCTCTTTCATTTCCTGCTACCTTCTGGGCCCTTGCTTTAGTCATCAAGTCTTCTGTTAATCATGAACATTTCATGCATATTACGGCATGCATTTAAGATGATGGCAGTGGTAACCTAAAGGAAAAACACAAATGTGGAAGTTGTATTCCTTGGCGGTCAATATTCATATATAAGGTTGAATGAGAGACAGCACTCACTCCTGACTTTTAAATTCTTTGGGTTTTTAGGCTGTTGGGTACTTGTCAGCTGTTTTCAGATGTCCCCTTTATCTAGTAGTATTTTGATGTTTCTTGTTCAGTTTTGGACTTCTTCAATGTTCACAGTTTTTTTTAATGGTTTACTTTCTAAGGATGGGCAGGTAATCTGTTAAAAGATTTGTTGTTGTTGTTTAGTCATTAAGTCGTGTCCGACTCTTCGTGACCCCATGGACCAGAGCATGCCAGGCCCTCCCATCTTCCACTGCCTCCCGGAGTTGGGTCAAATTCATGTTGGTCGCTTCGATGACACTGTCCAACCATCTCGACCTCTGTCGTCCCCGTGTCCTCCTGCCTTCACACTTTCCTAACATGAGGGTCTTTTCAAGGAAGTCTTCTCTTCTCATGGGATGGCCAAAGTTGTTAAAAGGTAGGATGGTACAAATTAATAAAGTCATTTAGATTACTTAACAGCACCATTTTATGTGTACCTTTTCAGAACTACACGTTATATATGAGAAAGAGACAAAAAAAAAGTTTTACACTCTTACATAAAATCATAGAA